AGGGGAAGAGCTGAGTCACTGGAACAGGCTCCGGGCAGGGTGTGGTCCCCAGCTCAGGTGGCAGTGGGACAACTTGGAGCTGCCCTCGCCTCCTCCTCTAGGCGACTGAGGCTAAGGGAGCGGAAGGCAAGGCTTGGACCTGCCTTTGCCCAAACTAACCTAGGGGTGAAGTTATGTCTATGTTTAAATTCAGGAGTAGATCACAGCCTTTGAAATGACTAACACACTAGTCTACGGCCATACCACCCTGAACGCGCCCGATCTCGTCTGAAATGACTAACGCACTAAACACACACACACACACACACACACACACGCCGTAAGATTGTCAGTAACAAAATCCAGCTTAGGGGAGAGAGCCTTAAAGTCTAGCTCTGGTACGAGGAAGCTGGCAGGTATAATTCGGTGGGAACTCGAAGACATTGGAGTAAGGGGAGTTCCAAAAATGTCTGAATGCCTCTTTATCCAGGTCTAGGATTTCCCAAACCTGGATCACAGGGGGCACTTGCAAAAAAATGCAGTTTTCCTGTCACTGCCTAGGAGATGTTGGGTTCAGTACATTCTGGCTCAGGATCAGGAATTCGGATGTTAAGGGATTCTTATGCTCTGAAAACTAGAGAAACAGTGCCCTGGGGCAGCAGCCTGTGGAGTAGTGAATCCTGTAAGGCAATGGGGTCTTGGTGTCAGCCACCCCCCCATTCCTAATCTGTTTAGAAACTGCAAGATCCAATTCCTATGCATTAAAGAAAACACTCGTGTGTGTATAAGTCCCAGTAGACTCTTGCGCTTGTCAAATGTACCTTGGGGAATTCATATTCTAGTTTTAAAGAACGCTTTGGGTCCCTTTGTGATTCAGCAGTTACTGGAAGATGGCCTGTCCTACCTGGATTATTCTAGTGTGTGGAGGTTGCTGGGAGGTGGCCCCAGGATGGCAGGAGCTGGGGGATCTTTACTGGGCTTTGTAGGAAGACCAGCTCAACTGGTTCCAGAGTCATGAATTTGGACCTAGGTACGCCTGCCTCCTGCAGTTCATGCTGATCACTACCCTCCCAAGTTTACACATAGAGCTCATTGTCACACATGGATCCCCAAGAACACACATCTACATCTACAGAGGGTTGTGAGAAATCTGAGGTCTCTTCCAGATGAAACACTGCTTCCTGCCTTCTTCCTCCACCCCACGCTTCCAGCCCTGCCCATTCTTGCTAAAGGACAGCTCTAATGTTTCTTAAATTCCACATATGAGTGAAAGCATATGGTATTTGTCTTTCTTTGCCTTATTTCGCTCAGCATTATACTCTCTAGCTCCATCTGTGTTGTTGCAAATGACAAGATTTCATTCCTTTTTATGGCTGAGTAGTGTTTCATTGTATATAGACTCCACATCCTCTTTATTCATTCATCAGTTGATGGACATTTGGGCTCTTTCCATAATTTGGCTATTGTGGACATTGCTGCTTAAAACTTCAAATTAGCATTTTTGTATCCTTTGGGTAAATACCTAGTAGTGCAACTGCTGGGTCATAGGGTAGTTCTTTTTTAACTTTTGGAAGAACCCCCATACTGTTTTCCAGAGTGGCTGCACCAGCTTGCATTCCCACCAACAGTGTAAAAAGAATTCCCCTTTCTCTGCAGCCTCACCAACACCTGTTGCTTCCTGTGTTGTTAATTTTAGCCATTCTGACTGGCGTTAAGTGACATCTCATTTTAGTTTTGGTTTGTATTTCCCTGATGATGAGTGATGTTGAGCATCTTTTCATGTATCTGTATGTCTTTTTTGGAAAAATGTCTACTCATGTCTTCTGCCCATTTTTTAACTGGATTAACTATTTTTTGGGGTGTTGAGTTTTACAAGTTCTTTATGTATTTTGGATACTAACTCTTTATTAGATATGTCATTTGCAAATATCTTCTCCCATAAAGACAGCTCTAACGGAGTAGCTTCTGCTCAAAATCCTTCAGTAGTTCCCATCTACATCACTCAGGCTGATGTGCTCTGATTTGACATTAGGGCTGCTATAAAAACCTGGATACAATTCCTATCCTGGAAGGCAGAATAATGGCTCCCAAGGGTGTCTACATTCTAACCCCTGGAACGTGTGAATGTGTTACATGGCAAAAGGGACTTTGAAATGGGGAGATCATCCTGGATTATCTGGTTGGGCCCAACCTGATGACAGGAGCCCTTAAAAGTGGAGAACCTTTCATGGCTGTGGGAAGATGTGATGATGGAAGGTCAAAGAGATAGGATATTGCTGGCTTTGAAGATGGAGGAAGGGGCCACAAGCCAAGAAATGGGGATAGCCTCTAGAAGCTAGAAAAGGCAAGGACATAGATTCTCCCCTGGACCCTCCGGAAAGAAATGCAACCCTCCAGACATCTTGATTTTACCCCAGTGAGATTCATGTCCAACCTCTACAGAACCATAAGGCATTACATTTGTATTAAGACACTAATGTTGTGGTAATCTAGGACAGCAATAGGAAACTAATACATTCCCAATCAAAGTTCCCTCCAACCAGTTTGTCCCTGGCTATTCTTCCCCTCCCCCGATGCCACGTGTTCCCCTCCCTCCACATTTGTGCTCATGCTGCTGTCCCTGTCCAGGACCCTCAGGTGGCCTTTCCCTCCACCCTGTCCTCAGCACTGACCACCCACCAGTGTTCCCATCCTGGGGGCTCCCCACTGAACCATAAACTCCTTGAAGGCGGTATCTGTGATTGATCTTCGAACTCCATGGCCAGGAGGCATCCGCAGAGGTTTGCATCATGAACTCGGGGCATCTTGTGTAGAACCTCTGGTTCTTAGCCCCTAGCCGCATCAGGATTACCTGGGAATCTTCACACAAGTCCTAATTCTACCAAATCACCATGGAAGAAAGGGAGGCAGCTCCACGTGTATTATTGGGGGAAGGTTTCCAAGATTCAGAGTTAAGTAGAAGAAGCAGTAGGAAGTCAAATATTGAGTAGAGCATGTTGCCATTTGTGTGAAAAGGGGCAACAATATTTACGTCAGTTAACGAAGAATTGTCTCTCTTTGGAAAGATATGAAAAATAGGTAAAAAGACATAAAGTCCTGGAACTTTCTGAATTCTGTACCAATATACATATTATCTATTCACAAAAGTAAATAAAATTTTAAATATTCAAAATACTGATTCTGGCTGTCTTGCTAGAAAAGATCCAGGATGTCCCAGGAATCTACGTCTAAAGCATTATCTGCCAGCTCATTCTAAGTCAGGAACTGAGTTGTCAGGAAGAGGGCAGACTTGAGAAGCAAAGGATATTTGGAAGCATAAACTTACAATCCACATACTCCGAAAAATGAATAGAAAGTTCTCCAAGGGATTGTGAGCCAGGCTTGGGAACCCACTGATTGAGCCCCACCTCTGCATTTTATGGATGAGGAAAGAGAGGAAGAGTGACTTCCCAAAGCTACACAGCCAGTCAGAAGCACAGGCCAGTGCCCCAGGAATGATAATGACAATGACATTGACTCCCAGCCCCTGCTCACCCTCAAGCAGGGACCCTGCTGACTCACTGGGCAGGAGGACAGGATGATAGAGAAGAAAACACCATCTTTAATTAACCCACCTGCACAGAAACCAGGGTACACTCCCTGCCTTGCAAGGTCCCAGTGAGAAAAGAACTTGGTCCCTTGCAAAAACCATCTTATAAAAACAAAAGGCTTCAAAGCACCAGTGGCTAAACCCGTTGAGTAGAAAGGAGGCTGGGGAGTGGGGGTGGGAGGAGAGGGCTGGAGACAGGAGAGGGCTGGTGGCAGGATAGCAGCCAGGTCCGAAGGGAGCTGCCCCCTTCTTGAACGGAACTCCTAGCTACCTGGGCAGACCATATGGGACCTCAGTGCCTGGGGTGACCAGTGGAACTCCTGGGGCTGGCTCCTTCGCAGCACACTGCCGAGGGGGTGGCGGGGTGCGGTCTTAGCTCAGGATGCTTTGGCCTCAGATGTAGGGAAGGCTAGATCAGAGGGTAGAGAGCAAGGAGTGGAGTGGTCACCATGGACGGGCTCAGGCACACAAACCATCTGTGTTTCCCTCCCATTCCCCCACGCCTGCTGCCCTCCCTCCTAATCCAAGGCCACTCCTGTTTCACAGACTGGGAAGCTGAGGGCTGCCCCTCCTGCCCTTGGACTCACGGCCAGTACACAGGAAGTAAGGTCCTCAGGGGTGTCTGTGGAAGGAGATGGGGAGAATGAGCTCTCATCTCTCTTTGCTCTCAGGGGTGCTAGCCCTCCCGACCCCACACCACGACCCACACTCCTAGTCTGCCTCTTCACAACTCCTTCTGGGCTTGTTAGAGGTTTCTCTTTGACATTGGAGTGGTCATAAACGCTGGTGATCTTTGAAAACTGGTGATCGGGAGGTGCTGACCAGCTGTCTTCCATTCTGGAACCACAAGTCTTCCAACGGGTGACGTGGATGGAGCCATCAGGGGTTGGTGGGGTTGCTGAGAGGACAGGGGATCATGGCTGCAGCAGACCCGGCCTCAGGGACCTGGAAGGGGGTGGGGTGGCTGAGATATGCCCAGCCCCCTTACTGGTATGAGCTTGAAAGGTTGGCCAAGGGTGGATGGGGGCCGAGTCTAGGAGGGCTTCCCTGTGGGTCAGGCTGAATTCAGGGCTCTGGGCTCCGTTCATCTGGTTCCCAACAGGAGAACAGGTATATTGCTTCAAGAGAGGCGCTGGCGAGGGGTGGTGGTGGTGGTGGTGTGTGTGATGTAGATCACGTGGGCTCTAGAGTGTCCCAGCTGGATGGGGGCTTGGAAATGGGATTCAGAGACCAGACACTGGGTTTTGGAGTCTGAAACTACAGAAGGTATGCTGTGTTCAAGGCCTGCCTCCACCAAAAGCCTAGCTGTGTGGCCTCAAGCAAATCACTTCATATCTCCGGGCCTCAGTTTCCATATCTGCAAAATGGGAATTATAATCCCAGCCTAGCCCCTGGAATTAAGAGTCAAATGAAAAGGCTAGAAAGAGCTCCATCTGCTAAGAGATTATTTTAATTGAGGGAAACTGAGGCCCAGAGAGGGCAAGGAAGGGCCTTGCCAGATGTCACACAGAGAGTCGGTGACGGAGCTGCAACTGGAACCCAGGACTCCTGCTTCTAGTTCACAGTAACTCTCCCCAGGGCTGGTGAACGAGTGTGGTGAGATGGGGCAAATGCCATTTCTCCCTGGACAGGGGACCGGAAGTGGGGTGAAGGGTTTCGAAAGGGAGCGGCTGGAGAAGGGAGGGAGGCCCCAGCGCACGCCAAGGCTGAGATAAAAAAAATACAAACCCCGCGATCCCCTCCCCCGCCCAGCCCGTGCCACCCCTGGAGTCGGGCTGGAAGGGCCAAGTCCAAGTCCGCCGCAGACCCAGCCGGAGCAGGCTGCAGTCGGTTCGCGAGCCGCCAGGGGGCGCGCCTGCTATTTCGGCCCGAGCTCGCGCCAGGGCGTCAGTCCAGCCAGCAAGCTCGTGGCAACTGGATGGGCGCGAGACAGAAGCTACCCCGACCTGCAGGAAACAAAGGCAGGTTAGGGAAGTGGATCCGCAGAGAGGTTCGGCTGCCCTCCCCGCGCCTCCCTGCCTTTCCTTCCCCTACAGCAACGCCCCAGTCCCTCCACCCCACCCCGCTGGGCACCATGACCCACGTGTACAGAGGCTGCAGTTGTAAATGCGACGTCTTCTGGGGCGCCTGGTATCCGTAGGAGTCAAAGCCACCGATGAAGTCAACTGCGGAAGGGGAGGTGGCGCATAGTTAGGGATGAGCCTGTGGGGTATGAGTTATGGAAGGCTAGGTCCTGAAAAGGAGGAATCTGAGGGCCAGACCCCTGTACAGAGCCTTAGGGCGGGGCTTTGCTGCAGGACCTATGCGGAGCAGAGCGGGATTTTCAGGAGCTCAGCCAGAGTGGGCCAAAGCCCAAGGGGATGGAAAGCCTCGGGGGGGGGGGGCCGTCCTTTAAGGGAGCAGGGCTTGAGCCACTTAAGGGGGCAAGACCTGGGAGGTGGGGGTGGACGGTAGTCGGGGGACGAGGCTGGGCGCGGGAGGTGCTTGGTAGGGGCGAGCCCCGTGGAGGTCCTCGGAGGGACAGAACCTAAGAGGAGTGGGTGGAGAGCAGTGCTGGAGCCGTGCACTGGGCACCTGGGTGTCTGGGTCACAGCCCAGAATGCGCTGGCTATGCCGACCGTCACCACCCCTGCCGCCTCTTCTTCCCCACCAAGAGGAACCAGTTGGCCAACCCAGGTCTCCTCCCTCCCAGGCCGCGCGGGGCTCTGTCCAGGGTGCTGAAGGCACGGGGTGGTGTGTGGCCAGGCTTCCCCGTTCCCTAGGGGCTCGGCACTCACAGCTGTCCTCCTCCTCCAGGAACACTTTGCTCACGTAGCAGGCGAACACGAAGCCAAACAGCTGGGGGTGAAAGGAAAGAAGACGGAAGCTCTTCCTCCACCCCCTGCCTGGCCGGGCCCAGAAGGACAGGAGGGACTGGGTGTGCGAGGATGAAGGCCAACCCATAACAACTTCAAGTTAAATGACTGGGCCTTATAATCAAACATACCTGGTCCCATTATCCGTTCTGTGAGTGGACTTGGACAAGTCATAATTTTACCTCTTTGGGCCTCAGTTTTCCCAGCTGGACCTGGGCAATACTTCACTGGTTTGTTAAGAGGAATGAGGATTATGTGGCTTTGGGTGTGTGGGGCGCTGAGGGCAAGACTGGGAACTATATTACTATCTTGGGGCCACTCTTCTTTAACTCTCACAACTCTACACAGTTGAGGTGGTCATAAATTTCTGTTAATAAGCATATAAACTTGGAGAGGGCAAGTGACTTGCCCAAGGTCACACAGCAGATACACTGGAGACTGGGTTGACTCATAGTCTGATGACTCATCCTATTCATTAAACCTGCTCACTCCTAGAATGGGAGCTGGGGCAGGGGGTGAAGGGAGGAGATACAAGATATGGAGACAGAGCCAGGCAGAAGCACAGGCAGGCTGGAAGATCTAGGTTCTCCCCTTCTTAACTAGAGCTAAACAAAGGAGTTGTGGTGGAGTCCACCTCTGGGAGTGTGTGGGCCAGGGGGGACAGGAAGACTCACAGCCAGGAAGATCTGCAGGGCACTGCTGAGTGCTTCAATGTAGGGATAGTCAAGCAGGCAGCCGGTGACAGAGATGACATGGTGGTCTTCCAGTGCCAAGCGGGAGTTCAGGACAGGTGTCACCAGGCAGCCTGGCCCATTCTCCATCCACCAGGAGCGGTGCAGGGATGTGTTGAAGGTCATGATGAAGTCCCGGTCCTGGGGGCAGAGGGGCCTAGAATACTGAGCTGGGGCCAGGGGCAGGGGGATCTTCCCCAGGCCCCAGGAAACTTTATATAAGATCTACGTCACACCTGGACTGTTGTAGCAGCCTCCTCTCCTGGCTTGCTTTGAAGAGTACGGAGGGAGCCCATTTCTGCAAGTCTATGTTTGGCCAGTAGGTGGCGCTTGATGACTACATAGGTCTCACACTTCCATCAGAGATGAAAGGGGCTGGTGCTGACCGACCCACAGGAGCCCCAAAGTTTCAGGGATGGAAGGGACCCTAACAGTGGCTGAGTCCAGTTTTCCAGCCATAGGTGAAATCCTCAACACAGACCCCTTCACAGCCCATTCAGCCTCTCCACTGCTCTCTGGGTGTGGCCCTGGGCAAACCTGTCCTCTCTAGTCCTTGGTCTCCCCATCTGAAATGCAGAAGGGGCTGGCCCAGATCAGAGGTTCTCACCCACGGTGTGCATCTCTGTGTTTATCAATCCATTCATCATGCAGCCTGTTAACAAATATTCACTGGGTGCTGACCAGGTGCCAAGCCCTGCGATGGGATGTATGATCTCATTTCATCCTCGGCAACCACATGAAGTGGTTATCTGCGCTCACTAGACAGGGAAACTCAAGCTCAGAGAGGGTGAGACACATGCCCAGGGTCACAGTTTGGAAATGCTGGAGCCGGGACTTAGATCTACCAGAACTACAAAGCCAATGTTCCCATTCATATATTTTCCCCTCTTACATACTAAAAATAGAAGTTGTATCCTCTGGGCCTGCTCTTCCACAAGCTAAAAACTTCCCCTTTCTTCAATAGTTCTGCATGGGATCTGGTCCACTCTCGATTTTCCCCAAAGACTACTTCGTCTCTTTCCCTTCTGAAAATACTGATCAGAACTGGACTCAAATCTTTGTGGCCTAAGCAGTTACCAAATGCTGTACATGACATTTTCACCTCCCTTGCCCTGAACACGTGTGGAGCCCAAGAGCACTTTTGCTTCAGGGCCACGACAAGTGGTTGGTTTCTACTGAGCTTGTGATCAAGTGGGACCACCGCCCATCTTCACGGCCCCTCAGCCTTATCTGCTCCATCATTTGTTTCTGAGAAGTGCAGAAGAGGCCAGAAACTAAAATGTGGGGGTAGGGTCTGTGGAGCACAGATCATTTGGGTGTGTAGAGGGAGGTCTCTTCAAGAGATGATGCCCCAGACCAAACTAGGAGCCCCTGGGGCAGGGGATAGGAAAGGTCAGGCTCTGCCCTCTGGCATTGCCAGGCCTGAGGCTTACCTGGGACAGCTGTCCAACCTCTAGGTAGAAGCAGATGATAAATGCATTCCAGCCAACCCAGAGCACCAGCCAGGCTGCATACTGGAGAAGGGAGAGGTGGGATCAGGGTGGGGCCTGGGGGAGCGGGGATGGGGCTTGTCAATGGAGACAGAGCTCAAGGACCGAGGGGACCTTTGCAAGGAGAAATGATGGCACTATCTCACGCAGAGAGCACTTTAGAGTTTACAAATCATTATTACATCCGTCCGGTCCTTACAACAGCCCTGCATGGAAGGCACTGTTCTTTCTCTAAAGATAACCAACGTAAGCGCTAGAGAGGAGGTTTCAGTTTTCCAAGATCACACAGCTAGGAAGAGATAGGGCTGCTCCTCAGGCTCCAGTCCTCTGGCAGCTAATCCGATGCATTCTGCAGAGAACAATAGACACAACCTGGCTCCACAGAGCTGGAGAGGAGGGGGTATTTCCACCCAAGTCCTGGGCCTGCAATTCCAGTTCTGTCACCCAGCACACAGTGCTGCTTAACGGAGTGCCTGGGGCTTTCCCGAGAGCTGGAGAGAAGGATTCTCCCAACCCGGGTGAGATAGAGCTTTGGAAGGGCCCTGCCCACCCAGCTTCTGGGAGGTTCAGCCTGTGGGAGGTGGGCGAAGCCCAAGAACGAGCCAGAATGGGCTGTGGCAGGAGCATGTCATTGTCATCACAGGTGTCCCTTTTCCCTCCAAAGAGGCATGTGAATGGGTCACTGAGGAAGAGCAGGGGAGAAGGGTGAGCCTAGCTAAACACAGGAGTTTAACAGAGACCATCAAGGACTAAGGCTTGGGAAGAGGAAGCAGGAGGGAGGCAGGGACACAATCCACTCCTGGGATCAGAGCACAGAAGGCACTGACCTCAAAGCCCCACTTGCCATCATACCACATTCTTGATGAACAGCAAAGGACCAAAGCCAAGCCAGCCTCTTAAAGCAACCTGAGAAGCTAGAGAAGATGAAGTCCGTCCCTGCACTGGCTTACTGAGGCAGCGTGGGCATGTTTCAAGAGCCTTCGCTCTGGGTCTGATGCTCTAATCCTGCCACTTATTAGCTGTGTGACCTTAGGAAGCCTCGTAACCTTTCTGAGCCTCATTTCCTCATCTGGAAAATGGAGATGGTAAGATATCCCTTGCAGGGCTGTTGTAAAGATAAGTAAACATGCGAAACTTTTAGCAGTACGCTTCGCACATGGTAGACACTAAATGACCTAGCGGGTTAATATTTGGATTCTTCCCTAGGAAATCCTTTAGGGAAAATATCAATCTCGTCTCTCTGCTGAGCAAAGAAGCACTGGGACTTGGGCATCTACCACCAGCCGGGCTGGAGCTAAGACAGGGCAGGGGTCTGGGCACCCAGGGAAGGGGGGGCAGTTCATGCCTGGAGGGGCAGGGGTGTGGGAGGGGCCAAGGGAGCCATACCAGAATGAGGTACCGGGAGCGGTACTGCACGGTGCCAAAGATGCCCAGGATGACTGCCATGATGTGCAGGAAGTTGGCTAAGATAGGAGCCCATTGATAGCCCAGGAAGTCAAAGATCTGCCGCTCCAGCGCAGCGACCTGTGGGAGAGAGCAGGCTGAGGCCACAGTCACCACCTGAAAGGGGAGGACAGGGACTCCTCCTCGACCTCGTGGAGCAGGTGACACCCCTTACCATGGTGACGAGGCACTGTGGCCTGACTGTACAGTCCAGAGCCATCCCAGCCCCACAAGACCACAGGGAGATGGGGAGATGGAAGCAAGTCTGTGGGGATGAACTGAGACGGAGCCCTGCTCATCACTTTGGGGACAGCTAATAGAAGGGAGCCGGGGTTCAGAACACCTTCCTCCCTGCCAAGAGGCGCTCCCCGTTAGCACCTGCCCCTGCCTCATGTGGGGCTCGAAGCAGGTGGAGTTAGGATCCAGACCGCTTCCCCCAGCCCTGGCCAAGGGCTGAGCCACGGCGCTGAAGGGCCCAGGAAAGTCCCTGGGCCTGAGTCCCCTCTTCCAAGGACTGCTATCTGGAGGTTGCCCTGGCCCATGAAATCTATGGGCTGCAGAGAAAGGAATTTTTTTTTTATTCCCCTTCCCCAAGGGAGCTACAGTAGGTTGCAAAACTGACCTCAAGTTCTTTCTCCCCCTGTCCCCGTGCTCTTTGGCAGTACCCTTCTACAGTAACTCCATGCTTGGTCATGTGACTTGCTTTGCCCAATGGGACTTTAGGAAGCATAGTGCAAGTGAAGACCTTTTGAAAAAATTGCTTGTGCCCTGGAGCTTGCCCAATTCCTACACCTGTAACACAGAGAGCACCATGTGGAAGAGCTCCTGTGACCCGCTGGAGGATAAGAGGAGAACCAAGGCCCCCCAGATGATAGCCCGTCAACCATCAGACATGTGAGTGAGGCCATCCTAGATCATTCTGATGCCAACCAACCCACCAACTGACCAAAAAACACGTAGCCAGACCAGAAGAATCACCCAGCTGACCTACAGAATCAAGAGCTAAATAAAATGATTGTTTTAAACTGCTGCTCTAGAATGATCTGTTACCCAGCAAAAGCTAACCGATACAGGATGCAATCAATCCTCCCTTTCCAGGAGCCCCTGGTTCAATGTTTCAGCTGATACACTTAAGAACACAGGTGCCAATGACATCCATTGTTATTGACTGTCCAATACTTCTTCTCCTGGTGAAAGAACCCATCTCTTTGTTTTGGGAACCGCCTCCTGGACCTTTAGTCCATGTGCCTTGGGTGGGGCTGAGCCCACCTCTAATTTCAGCAGTGGGCTCATGACTCAGTCCTAACCAGATCATTGACATACAGGGATCTGGTCAGGGCTGGGCACTCGCCCTGTGGCCTGCTCCCGAGAGTCACCCCGGAGAGCTGCTGGAGCAGCCGGGACAGAGATGCTATCTGCCAGGGTATCTGAACGGGTACAGGGTCGCTCAGAGCTGTTGGTGGCTGTCTTTGCCATCTCAAAGGGACAGAAAGGGAGAAAGAGTGAACAAGCGAGGGGAGTGCCCAGGTCGCATCGTTTTCGGTCTGAGGATCTAGCCATGCTGGAAACGAATTCTCCCTCCTTGTACTTGTGATTTCTGTCACTTGCAACCCAGAGTCCTGATTAAAATAGAAGGGGAGAGAAGAGGATCTGGCTGGGAAGGAACAGGGAAGATCCCAGAAGCCGTTTTCCTGGCAGGGAAGCGGGAGGAGGTGGGGCTGATGCTACCACACAGATGGTAAAGCTCGGGCAGAGACCCAGGAAGCTGCAGGCCCAGCCCTGGCACCCACCCACCTGGCGCCAGCCTGCCTCTTGTTGGTGACTCCTCCTGCAGGGCCCTGCAGATTGTAAAGAGCTTTCATCGCTCACTGGATGTTCCTTGGCAGAAAGGCAGAGCTGAGATCATGATCTTGTTCTGAAGCAAGAGACCATGAGGCTCAGAGGAGGGAAGTGACTTCCCCAAAGTCACATAGTAGGGAGGTGGCAGAGCCGGGCAGTCATTCTGCTTTTCTCTGTCACCTGTCCCATCTTGGCACCAACTTATCAACTTTCCCTCTTGGCATTGGCACTGGAGTTAAGAGGTGTGGATTCTGGTTGAGAGTCTACAGACTCTTGGGTGACCTGGGGCAGACCACCTTCCCCAGTGGGGATCAAGCTCCTTCTTCCATACAGAAGAGACCACTGGACTACATGATCTCTAAGGGCCTTCCACCTTTGACTCTAATGGTCTGCTGCCCTTGGGGAGAAACTCCCCAGGTTGCTCCCTGCTCCCAACAGCTTCTGCCCCACTTCTGCTCTTCTCCTTTCCACCCTGACTCTGCCAAGCCTTGGGGAGCCCTGGTGGTTTGGGGCGCACTTGATCTCTCAACTCAGCTCGCATCTGGTCCTGGCAAGGAGACTGCCATCAGAGGACAGAGGACGTGGCTGAGACAGACTTGCCCAGGCTCATAGTGTAGCTGGGGAGACATCTTGCCTAGAAATGCCCCCGAAAAACATGGTATCACCCTGCTCCGCCCCTGGCTCTTGCTCCAACCCCTCTGGGTTCTCGGGGACCTCACTGACAAAGCAAGCAGTGGGACTGTTACCACGAAAAGCTATGGAATCACTAAAACTCAGGTTCAAATTGCAGCTCTGTGTGACTCAGTGCAAGTTACTTTCCCTCTCTGAGCCTGTTTCTTCAACTGTAAATAGGGAAGGCAATCCTTTCCCCAAGAAGTTGTTGTGAGGATATGGAGACATCACAAAGACTGAGAGACAACTAGACTTAATAAACAGTGGCTAGGGTGCCTGGGTGGCTCAGTTGGTTAAGCGACTGCTTTCGGCTCAGGTCATGATCCTGGAGTCCCGGGATCGAGTCCCGCATCGGACTCCCTGCTCAGCGGGGAGTCTGCTTCTCCCTCTGATCCTCCCCCTCTCATGCTCTCTGTCTCCCATTCTCTCTCTCAGATAAATAAATAAAAAATCTTAAAAAAAAAAAATAAACAGTGGCTAATTAGTAGGAGACTCAACAGTGGAGCTTCTTAGTTGGGCACCGAAGGCTTGCTGGGAGTTTCCACACTCCTTTACCCTGCCCCACCCCCGCCCCAGCTACTACCCCTGAGTGGCTGAAACAACAGTTGAAGTCCTGCCTTCATTTCCCTTTTCCTTTTTTAAAAGATTTTTTTATTAATCTATTTGACAGAGAGAGAGACAGAGAGAGCAGGAGCACAAGCAGGGGGAGTGGGAGAGAGAGAAGCAGGCTCCCCGCGGAGCAGGGAGCCTGATGTGGGGCTCGATCCCAGGACCCCGGGATCATGACCTGAGCCGAAGGCAGACGCTTAATCGACTGAGCCGCCCAGGTATAAACTTAATTTTTTTTAAAGTAAACTCTATACCCAATTCAGGGCTCAAACTCACGACCCTGAGATCAAGTGTCCCACGCTCTACCAACTGAGCCAGCCAGGTGTCTCTCCATATATATTTTTTAATTGAGATTCTGCGTCTTATAAATATCTCAATCCTAAAGTTATTATTTTTTATTAGAAAACCAAGTCAGATATTCAAGAATTTCTGCTTGTGCAGCTGCGAGATGTAGCTAATTACACAATAAAGAACAAACAAATAGGGGGAATATCTTTCCCATCTGGTTGCACCAGCTTAGAACAATAATCCGAGGGCTGCAGTGATTGTAAATCCTAGCTGGCCTTGTTAGTTTGATGAGAGGACTAGTGTGGAGACAATGGCAACCTGCTCCTTCGAAAAAATTTCAAGTGCACATGCACGGAGGGAAAAAGTGACTTTGGGCTAATTGTTTTTAACCTGGTCAACCGGTAAGCCAGGTCTTGAGTCTCTCTCCTAGGTGGGCCAGGACTATGGCAGAAGCTCCTGCTGGCAACTGATGCAGCCTCCTGCGTGATGGGGGTGCGGGGGGGGGGGGGGGCTGGCCACTACCCGTCTGAGTGCTTTTTCTTTGCATGTTTTTGTTGTTATTTGTTTGAAGTAGGCTCCATACCACCATGGAGCCCAACGTGGGGCTTGAACTCATGACCCTGAGATGAAGACCTGAGCTGAGATCAAGAGTTGGATGCGGGACGCCTGGGTGGCTCAGTCAGTTGAGCATCTGCCTTCGGCTCAGGTCATGATCTCAGGGTCCTGGGATCGAGCCCCGCATCGGGCTCCCTGCTTAGCGGGAAGCCTGCTTCTCCCTCTCCCACTCCCCCCTGCTTGTGTTCCTTCTCTCTCTTTGTCTCTGTCAAATAAATAAATAAAATCTTAAAAAAAAGTTGGATGCTTAACCGACTGAGCCACCCAGGTGCCCCGTCCAGTTACTCCGTCATCAGGGCAGCCCGCAGGGTTTGGGACAATCGCTGAAGCCCCTGCGCCTGCCAATGCCCCCCCCCCCAAGACCCGGGATAAGCAGGACACGTGCCCTAACCACCCCAGAGTGACGGATGAGAACAAGTCCCCTGGATCCTATGTGGATCTGTCAGGCCCACAGCATAAGTCCCACCTGCCTGCCCCTCTGCCTCCCCACCCTCGTCCCCTCAAGGCCCGGTGCCGCTTCGCCTGACCCACCCACCCCGCCCCCACCCCTCTCACGAGCCCTTCCAAACCAGCCTGTGGCCCTCAAGCTGCAGCTCCTTCCATCAGGGCCCCCTCAGGGCCCCCCCAGCCCTATCGTTTGCACCCAAGGATGCTCTGTGCTCCGCTCACATCCCATGTTCCTCGGGCCAAAGGCAAGTGGGGAGCCTCTGGGGTCCCCAAGTTGCTTGCAGACCCGGACAGCCCCGTGCCCCTGGGCTCAGGCCCCGCGGCTAGTCTACCTCCTTCACTGCTGCCTCCAGGCCCTGCCCTTCCCCGGACCTGAGTTTCACCCCTGCGTCACCCTTTGACATCCAGGAGCCACCCCGTCCAGCACCTCAACCTCTCAAACACTATCCCCATGACCTCCCCCTCCCCATTGCTCCTCCTCCATGGCCGCTGTTTGGACTGTGGCATCACCACAGCTGCCCCCCCTCCGAAGTCACCAAGTCAACAGCTCCCATTGGACCGGTCCAGCTGGCTTCCCTACACCGCTAACGGGGATGGTGACCAACCGGGTC